CTCTCGAGGTCCCTTCCAGTCCTATAATCTATGAATCTATGAAAGTAACCAATCCAATCCAAAACAATGTGATGTAATGTATAGCAAATGCAATATCGTGTAAATGTATATAAAGGAAGAGTTTTTCTGTGTAACTTTGGATGTGTGGTATGGCCTATACCCACCCCTTACGCTTGAGTCTGATCAACTCAGTGTAGCTTTGCTGTATGCCAAATAAAGGAACCTGAGTGACGAAATCTGGAGTTGAACGGAGAATTTTGGATCCCAAAGAACTGGATGAAGTGTTCTCCCAGAACTGGACAATGTGTTCTGGATAAGCCAAGTGGAAAAGGTCTCAGAGGGAATCCCAACAAAAGGTAGAATTGATTAGACTCAATTGAGAGTTTTTGTATTGTTAAGCGATTAGTAGAGCTGAAATCACTGATAATCAGGTGTAGCTGCTGAACCTTAGAGCTGGTGAGGGACAGTGTTGCGGTGAAAGAGACAACCCATCCTGCAGTGAGTTTCACCACTGCCTGCTAAAATCACTGAGAGCTGGGTTAGCTTGTGGAACCACAGAATGTGGCATCAGAGTAAACAGTAGCAGCAGCGGTGACAGAGTGAATGGCGGCAACTGTGAGTCAGTTGCAGAGGCGGCAGCAGCAGCTCAGGCATTGCTTGACACTGGCCCCCAGGGAGGGAGGTGAACTCACATGAACGCGCTTCTGAACGCTGGGCCTTTGCTGACCAAGGACAGCAACTGTGAGTGGGGTGCAGTGGAGGAAGAGCGCAATGGCAGATTAAAGGAACATTTGTTGGAGTTTTACACCACAAAGTGAGAAACTGGGACACTACCCAATATACTTTGGGGTGGGTGTTTGTTCATGGTCACATGCTTTCGAATTGTGGTTGTGGTGTTTTCCTAAATTAATGCCAGGTTCCTTTTCCCTTTTTATTAAAAGTTTTCTTTTGTTATACCCAGGCTCGGTGTTTGCGAAAGGGGAAGTATTGCCTCTTAGAGGCATCTGGTAAATTTTCCCAGATTAGAGGGTTGGGGGTCTAGAGCCAGTTCTGTTTTGTATTGTTAACAGGAACAGCTAGATATTGAACCCAGACTTTGGGACTGCCAACTCCACCTGGCAGAAGAGTTACACTACAAATATATTAGCTTACCCTTTCAATGTAGTAGCAAAATAATCCTTGTCATCAGGGATTTCAGAGACTAACAGAACATTAACAAAGGCCTATAAATCAAAGTAATTAATGCAATGATTAACTTCAGTAAAAGTTTTACGGCCTTGAACAATCTAGACTATTGAGCACCCTTGCCTTGCAACCTTGTCTGCCTTACAATGCTTTGATGAAGGAATTCCCATGTGGGGTGCTCACAAACAGCCTTCCAGCATTCAAGTCACACCCTGAGTGTGTGTTTGTAACTGCAGCTCACCAACCACATTTAAATTACACTCTGGCTCTCACCAGCCTTTGTTATACTGCAGTTGTCCCCAACTTTTGAGAGTCGTGCCCCTCCTTACTCCTGTTGGTGCCAGCCAGGACTGGGAACAGAGCCGTGGCTCGCGGGGGCAAAGGGGCTGAGGCTGGGGCCGCAACTGGGGATGGGTCTGGGGCTGGGGGGACAGACCCAAGCGTGGGGGCGGGAGCGAACCCACGCCGAGACTGGGGACGGGCCAGGAGCCGGGGACGTGGCTGAGGGCGGAACTGGAGCAGAGAGGGGAGGGGCTGGGTGGCACTTCCTCCCATCACCTGTGGAGGCTAGCCCGGCCCCCACTGCGCACCCCCCGAAGGTTCCTCTGTGCCCCACTAGGGGACCTGTGGTCTAGAGAAGTCTCAAGATAGTTTTAGTCCATCAATTCCATTCATAAAATAACTGTAATTTTCCAAAATCCAGCTTTCTCAAACACTAAATCTGAAACACAGGGAGGGAGGCCATGTAGTCTCAGAATACATTATCTCTTGATAATGCTCATTTTGCTTGTCAATTATCAGGATTCTAATACATTGAATTGTACTTCCTTTGCATAATGATGGATTGAAATGCTTGTGTCCCTAAAACTCAAGCTTTTATGAGATGGTGCTGAAAAGTCATGTATGATGTCCATTCAGCGGCACTAAGAACATTAATAATGCATGAATAGTTGGGAAATTAACAGTTCTATAAAATTCTTATATTAAATTCAAGTTGTATAAGTCGGGTTCTTGGAAAAGAAACAAGTGTACTTTGTCTTAAAGGCACAGCTATAAAGAGAATGATCTTATGGCTGAGGACTGGCCAGTTAGACTTTCAAGTCCATGTTAATATCTTCACAGGACAAATATGCTGTAGTTTTGGTCAGATTTCTTCTTTGATATGCTTGTATATGAGTATCTGGAAAGTACTTTTAGACAGAGCATTATATGAACAAAGTAATGATTCACAGGTTGCTCTAGTATACTTTGCTCCACCAGAATCCCCACTGAAATTCAGTGAGAGTTCTGCCTATGTCAGGATTGCTGCATTGGTCTAAACATGCAATACTTGAACAAAATTTGGGAAGTATTTTAAGTGTATAACATGCCCATTACATTTAAGTTGAATATTCAGTGATGACTGAAGACAATGAAAAATATAGTAAGTTAAGTGGTGATTTATCCAGTGCCATAGATGTGCATGACCATGTGTGGAACAATAAGACAGTCCTTGCCCAGAAAAATGTGCAATCTAAATTTTAAAATAATTATGATGACAAAGGGATTTGGGGGAAGGCAGGAAGCTAGGAAGAGAGAGGACAGGAGTAATGTAAATAAGATAAAGCAATTGCTTGATGGCTGTGGTGGTTTTTTGTGTGTGTAGATTTTCTTTGCAGTTTATAAACAATTTGTTTATAATCATAGTAATTTAAAAAAAAGTCCTTAATTCCTTTTTGTGCAAAACTGAGCTGACTGTGCTAATGGAGGTGGAAGGGTCGTGCATATGAGAACACAGCAGGATGGGAGACAGATTTGCGGTGTGGGAAAGAAGACCAAGATGAAAAGGGGAGAGGGAGAAAGTGAGAAATGTGAAGACAAGTTCAGGTGGCAGCAAATTGACTTAGCAGCATAGAGTTAATGAACCGAATAGCAATGGCAAAGGTGCAGTGCAAATAACGGCAATGACATTATGGACAGTGAAATTAATGGCAGTGGCAGTACACGTAGTTCACCATTGTTCTAACTGCTAATTGGTATTTAGGTGCTTAACATGATTTCCAGTGTTGGGATTAGTCATCACTCAGTTTTAGGTGGCAAAATAGTATTTATTTTGACCTAATACCACATATTGTGAAAATATTTCAAGAGTTGTATTCTGTATCTGTTAAATTATCCAGGAAATAGCGGCAAGACTTATTTTCAGTCAGTTAACCAAAGAGGACTCCATTCTACATACTGCAGTAAAACAGAATTTGGAGGCATGCAATATACTTTCCAAAAAACAAGAGTGTGCTCAGTGTGGGCAAGGATTCCTGAATATATGGCTGGAATGTGTACGTTTTGTGAATGTCAGACAGGTAAATCACCCTTTTATGAATTTCTCCTAAAATTATAGGTCTTGCTCCTGCCTGAAGATACATAGTAGCATAAAATAAACTCATGTGCAGTTGTTTCCTCTTCACTTGAAGATCTCTGAGCTGAAAAATCATGTAAGAATGGGTTCACAAGCACAGGAAATTATTCCTTTACAAAGATAGTGTAGAGCTGCATATTGGTAGGCAGCACTGAATCCATAGTCTCTCTATCGCATGGTTGCAGGATTACATTGCGCCAAAGTGATTTGGTCATTTGAAGATAAGAGTCTTTGTGGATACCCTTTCAACTTGTACATTATGAGTATCATCCTTCGGTGTGCCAAGTGCTGCCAGAAAAAGAAGAAGGAACTCAGAAGCTTGCAGTGTCAGCCCTCTGTGAAATCCCTTTCACTGTAAACTTTTCTGCATTTCCTGATGCCGTAATGAACTCCCCCAACAACTATGGATCATCAGAAACCTTGCTACTTTCCACTCCAAATGCAAGCAGCATTTCTTCGACCATGCGCCTTCTCTAATATAAACACAGAGCAATTGGTATATTTATATTTAAAAACAAAAACCCTAACCAAAAAATAAAACCCAAGCTACCGAACTAAGAGAGTCCACTGCATATGCATCTCCCTCTGGGGAGAGGACAACATAACAAACAACATGTGACAGATGTGTAATGCGTTACGGGAAGGCACTTGGATCCTACAGTGATGAGCATGGTATAGGAACTTATATAGAATAGAATACAAAATAGGCACCAGGAAGAGACACACTTAAGGGAAGACCGTGGATAAATGAAAAAAACCTGTAGATGCTTTATGACACAACGATAGCATTCCAAGGGATTTGAGGTAATGTCTTCTTTTTAATTAAAGATAATCCAGAATTCCAGATTCTCTCATTTGTTCTGATCTGGCAGTTCAAAGTGATCGCAAAGCCACCAGATCTATTGGAGGATTCCCCCAACTGAAGTAAAATTACTGGAGCTGGCTGTTATCCTCCCTTCTCTTGCAAGTCCTGGTGAAATGCAGGAGTATGTCCAGGGTTATTTTGTTGTCCTTCAGTCTCTGGCTGGCCTTTGAGTTCCACAGCGCCCCAGTATAGATTAGAGCAGCCCCAGGGATATTCCCTTTTGTGCTATATTCAGTAATACTTAATCACCTTTGTGTTGATTCCGTTTGAATATTTGAAAAGGCTTGTGTGTTCCATGCTTACCCTCTCTAATTCATTTCTTAGCCAAGCTATAATATTTAGCTCTGAATCTTTGCACATAAATCATTCTACTGCAAAACATCTCCACTAGTCTACAGCAGTTGGTTGTCTCGTGTCTGCACTGGACCCAGGGGCTGCTGAAGTTGCGTAAGAACCCATCTGGTTGGCCCCGACCCTTTCTTCTGTCATACCTTCCCAGATGTTCTCCTTTGACAGCAATATTACATAGAAGTGGTAATCACTTCCTTCCTAAGGAGCTAATTTTTACCACAACTGGGCAGATGACAAGCTCTTCCTCCCCCACTCCCAACTTGGCTTTTTCACTTGAATTTCATTTTATTTTTGTTTTTATTTTCTGTCTCTCTGTATTATTTCTCTCTCTTCAACAGCATTGAACCTCTAGTAGCAATTAATTTCATTAACATGTTATTTTCTTCTTCTTCTAGACTAGTGGGGAGGAGATTAAATAAGACTGGACCTAGTAACACTGACCTTTGCCACATACTGCTAGGCCCCTTACTTAGCCAATACACTGTCTTTTTTTAACTCTTTATCTCAACCACTTTTCAGTCTGCATGACATAACTACCATCCCAACAAATTTGGATTATGTTCTCATGACACATTTTGTAATACAGTATCAAATACTTTACTGAAATGCTTTACCACCCACTTGTAGCTAAACTACAGCCACCAACTCTATTACACATAAACCCCTGTGTTAGTGCACCTCAAACCTTCTCTGAAAAGAACTTTGAAAGAAGAGGAGGTAATGCATTCTCTGTTCATTCAGTCCTCAGCCTCTCTGCTTAGACTGCCTGCAAGAGTTCCAACTGTATGATTTAAAAAAAAAACAGACCTTTTCAATTAGGAACAGGACTTGGACCAACAAACTAATTTCACTTAGGCTAACACCTTGGTTTTAGTAACAGCTTTCAGTTATTACTGACTTTGGCCATAATGAAGCCAGTGACTGAGAAGTAAAAGGCTCTGAATTCCATTAACAATTCCCTGAGCCAGCTAGCCCTCAGGATATGTATGTGTTCATATATAAAACATTTCATTTCTTTTTGTTGTTTATATTAACTTTTCCCTATATCCTCTTAAAGTCATGGAGTTTAGGGAATAAACTACTTTTGTGTTGGATAATGAACTTTCAACCCTGCATTAAATTATGTTATATAATTTAAAACTGCTCTCAAAACATATCAAAATAAATACGCCTTCCTCCAAATGAGTGTGACTTGGATGATCAATATTATGGAAAAATAAATGCAATTTTGTAACCACAATTTCTTTCAGTAACACAGTTAGCTGAGCAGCAGGAAAGCATACATCACCTTAATTTATATTGTTAATTCTACTCATGATTTACAGCATAAAAGACTTGCTTAAGAGCTAAAATTACCTGTTTGAGTTAGACATAATACAGTCCGCAGTTGAAGTTGACAACTACAATAGACCAAGTCACAAAACTGTTGTAATGTATTTGTGTATGGTACAGCTTTGTATTTGTTTAGTGCTATATATAATTAAGCACAAAAGGAGGAGAAATTATATAGAATTCCTAATTAACCATGATTATTCTTGTCAAGAACCTATGCGTACTGAGAAGTATGACTAAAGTTCACTAATAGTAAATACACGGTATTTTATTTCATCTTCATAGTTGCATTAGAACTTGCTCTCTTTTGTTTGAAAACATTGATAACTAGGCCTTGAACGTCTTTGGTAACTTCTCAAATACTCTGCTCTCCTGCTTTATATCTGTTGCTCTTTTTAACTCATTACCATTTTATTTTTCTAGTTTTCCTGGTCAGATGGTAGTATTCATGGGCCTGTAAGAGATGGGATTCTGTCTGTAGTATGAAAATCAACTTCTGTCATACTGTACATCTTTATCACAACAAGTATTATTCTAAATTGTCTGCTTACAGGATATTTATTACTTAAGGGGATGTTGGCATGTCTTTTAATGAAGTCATTTTATTCTGTCAGCAAACAGGAAGGACCCAATGTGTTGTTCTATTGAGTTATGAGTTACCCTGCAGAATGTAATTTGTGCACTGCCCAGTGCAGAAAATATATGCATGCTTGTTGATAGATTAAACTCCCTAAAGCAGACCCTTGTGAATGAGCAGCTGCATATAAGATGGGAATAGCAACTCAGATCTAAACTTAGAAAAAAAAATCCAATTGACCATTTAAATGGATGTTGGTTGGCATGAATAGTATCCTAATGCAAATTTTCAAATTGAACTCAGTCTGTCTCTTAATTACATGAATGCAATCATTTATGAGTGTACTAGCATTTGAACCTAGAACTGATAGTGGAGACATCATTGTTTATGTAAGTATAAAGCCCCTATTTTGTTAATTTGACCCTCTATTTAGAAGCAAGCCTGCTAAGTATCATATGTCGTCATCTTTTTATTCTTTATTTCTGAGTGAGGAATAACGTGTATGCTCATGTTCAAGCCTGATTGTCACAGCATGCTGTAAAAAGTCCTTGAGGCTTGTCCACACTAGCAATTTAGGAATATGGGTACTAATTTTGCTAGAGCAGATAAGGCTGGAAAGGTTAAATGACTAGTCTGTAATCTGATGAGTTGTACTGGAGAAAGAGAATTGGGTTTCAGGAAGAACTAGAAGCTGGGGTCTGAGTGTAAGTCTATGGGTTGCTCCTGCATGTGGTATAGATAGAAACAGCAAAATCCTGAGCATGTTTTCTTGGAATCAGCTTTATTAAATGTACTGCTTTTCTGACAGCTCTGCCTCCTTGTTGCATCATATATTGCTAATGAACCGTTGTCTAAGGTTACATAGCACATCACTGGCAGAGAGTGAGGGATATAATCAGGTCATCAGATACCCAGTCCCTTGCTCAAAGCCACTAGAGCATGCTGTCTCTGAACTCCTTGGTGGAGTTCAGACCTGGGATTACATGAATACATATGGATTATTATTATGTAAATGTAACTAAACCGCTGAGCTCTATTCATTTGGGTTTTTGAATCCATTAAGCTTCCAATCAAACTGTATGAAGGTAAAACTACAAGGACCAGATTTTTCAATTCATACTTGATGCAGTACTTGAACCTGCAGACACTTGCATTTGTATTGACAAGCTGGTTCATTCATTCTGTTTGTTCCCTCTGGGTGACCTGGCATTGGCCACTGTCGGAAGACAGGATACTGGGCTAGATGGACCTTGGCCCAGTATGGCCATTCTTATGTTCTTATGTTGATTTACTTCTACACAATTTGGTGTCTGACTTGATAATTTGGCCCTACAGATAAATTCAGACAGCACAAATGTATAGCTCTTAAAAAAACCCAACTCCCCACAAAAACCGTAAGATTCTGGAATAGAGAAATAAAACTCATTTAGCTGGAGTGGTCATTATGGGCATTATTAAAGGAGACATCAGGATGGTTGGCTTCTTGTACAACTGCCCAGGACAGGGTTGTTTAACCAATTTAAGGTACACTCTTTCATATCATCATTTATTTAACTAATTTCTGTAGGAATGAAAATGACTTGAAAAACTACAATAGAATTATTAGAATTTTATTAAACTGTCAATTCAGAGCTGTTACGGCCATTGTACAAACAACTACACATTTTAGGACCCAACAAGCTATTGAAGTCTATGAATGTGTTAACTATGGTCAAGGACAGGGGAAAAAAGGTTTAAAATTAAACTGAATATTGCAAATGAAATATCGTAAAATTATTTTGAATTTTTAAAAGAGAAAATCTTGTACCCTGGATGGTCTTCCAGTGGATGAGGCTATGGACTGGGACTCAGGAGGTTCTGCCACTGACCTGCTGTGTGACTTGATAAATCACGGTGTCTCAGTTTCCCCTCCTATCCTTTGTCTGTCTTGTCTGTTTAGATTTGTATGCTGTTCCACTATGTGTACAGACAGTGCCTGGCACAGTGAGGTCCAATCTCAGTTAAGGCCTCTATGCGATACTGTAATGTCACACTTCAAGAAACGTAGTAGTAGTAGATCCCTGTATTTCTCAAGTCGTTGAACTTCCAGAGGTCTGTGGATAACCAATATAGCTCCATTTCTTAAATGCTTGCTTAATTTAGACAGGGTGGAAGAGGCAAAGCTCTCAATCTCTTTTATCACCTCATTTTCTTGCTGTAATGTCTTGATTTTCAAGTATATTTAAAAAGCAAAAACAAAAAATCAGTAAATTTTCCACAGACTCCTCCTATGGACGCAATTTCATGTTAGATTATACATATTAGACTGCATTAGCATCCAGTCTTGCTGTCTTTACATGGCAAAACTCCCATTCATTTGTTTTTATTAATGTGCTCAGTGCTGCAGCACGCACAAAAGATGGCCCCTAGGATATCAATTTTAATATTATTCTTCAAGCTAAAACTTTAATGTGATTTTGCCTGTACAAGGCCTGCAGTATCAGGCCTTAGAAGAATAACTTAATTTACAGGGTGTTCAGAAAATTGGGAGTTGTTAGTTTCTTATGAGACAACTTTATTGAGAGTAATATGAAACACCAGTGTTACAGCTTTGCCTTAATTGTATGTGTAGTGTCGAAATATTTTCTATTTTTGCAATTTTTACATTGTTTTTTTTTTTTTTTTAAGAAAATGAAGATAAGCAGAAACGTGCACCTCTTGCCTGTAAGGACGTTGCTGTGCTCTTACAAATGCTTTAACCATCCTGGCCATGGATTCTTTGGAATTGCTGTACCATAGAGCAAGCAAGGAATTCACTCAGTACATCAATCAGATTGCCCTCTTTGGCATTGTTTAGCCTTACTCGAGAGCTAGTTCTTAGAATTCAATATAGAGTCTGTTCTCAGTGTAAAATATACGGTATATTATGGAGAGATAATGAGTTACAAAGAAATGATCTCCATATACATAATTATTCCGCACAACTGTGTGATGCTGATGTTTTTTGGCAGACTTAACACAGCTTCTAAAAGTGGATGAATTAAACCAATGACATTGTTTAAATATGATGCAGAGTTTTATAGTGTAAATTGTAAACAGACATTGTATTGTGGCTTCTTTGACAGATGTCTTATGTTCTAATGTGAAATTATTATGAAAATTTGTTTTTTCTGAGAATTTAGGATCAAATTTTAAAGCTTCAAAGAAATATATGGAGACGTGTCAAAGTGATTCTTTATATATTCTTTCATTGCCATTATAAATCCAGTTTTTTAGAAGTTTGTAACTTGGCACACAAGTGTCTTAGTACAGGAGCAAATATGTATGAATGCTTTAAAAATGAAAAAGATTACCAGTTTTAAGGTTTTTTTTTTTTTTGTCATAAAACAATTTTAATTTTTAAAGAGGCACTTATGCCTCATGGAAAACTTTGGGAAAACATTCTATATTGAAACAATTCTTAGATGTTTTATTTTTGTAGTTTCTTTTCTTCCCTGCTTTATGATCCCTTTGGATGTTTTTAGATTGAAACAGGCATTTTTAAATCTTCCTCCCCTAAATTTATAATCCTCTGTTAATGTCATAAACCTGTCCTTTGCAACTAATTATAATGTTACAAACAGGGTCCCTTGTTCTGGAAAGTGCTTAAGTATGTGCCTAAATGTAAGCGCAAGCAGTCCTATTGATTTCAGTGGGACCGTTCATGTGTTGAAAGTTAAGGATGTGGTTAGGTACGTTTCTGCATTGGGTCCAGAATTATTTCATGTGAAAATAATAAGCAGGAACAGTCACATATTTAAAGAGCAAAGACTGTTTTTAAACAATTTGTTGCCTAGGAGTAAAGAACAAGTTAACAAATACCAAAAAAACAAGCAGAATTTTCTCTAAATGGAATATTTTTGTGATTTTTACATTTCCATGAGGCATTGGTGGAGCACCAAAAAACATTTCTCAAGAACTTTATCTCATAATATGGTGTACTCACTTCAAGTGAAATTCATTGCAGACAGAGGATTTATCATGGAAGCTGTACGGTAATGCTGTGCAGATAGTAGTGGGCATAGGCTGAGTGAAGGGAGGATTCACCATACCTCTCCGAAAGTACAAACAAGAAGGAGGGCATTGAGGATAGGCTAGGGAACAAACTACCAGATCTGTGCATATGCAGATTCAGTGACTAGGAACCCCATATAGTGTGATGGGTTGGATCACAGAAACCCCCTTGGGAGCTGCCACCTAATGTACCAAGACTACTTCTATTCCTGTTTTCCCTGCCAGGTCAGGACTCCAGCACCCTGTCTTGCTGAGCCAGACACTCCCATCTGCTCCAACACAGACCCAGGGTCTGAATTACTTGCCCCAAGGCTGCAGGTTTACCTGAAAACAGCTCACAGAAGTGTGCTTGTCTTTAGCACTCAGATGCCCAACTCCCAATGGGGTCTAAACCCAAATAAATCTGTTTTACCCTGTATAAAGCTTACACAGGGTAAACTCATAAATTGTTCGCTCTCTATAACACTGATAGAGAGATATGCACAGTTGTTTGCTCCCCCAGGTATTAATACATACTCTGAGTTAATTACTAAGTAGAAAGTGATTTTATTAAATACAGAAAGTAGGATTTAAGTGGTTCCAAGTAGTAACAGACAGAACAAAGTAAGTTACCAAGCAAAGTAAAATAAAATGCGCAAATCTATGTCTAATCAAACTAAATACAGATAAGATCTTCACCAGTCCCAGAATGCTCCCTTTTACAGGCTAATCTCCTTTTAGCCTGGGTCCAGCAATCACTCACCTCCCCCCACCCCGTAGTTACTGTCCTTTGTTCCAGTTTCCTTCCAGTATTCTGTGGGGTGGAGAGGCTCCTTCGTTAGCCAGCTGAAGACAAAATGGGGGGTGTGTATCTCCCACGGGTTTAAATAGACTTCTCACTCATATGCATGCAAAGTCCAGCTCCAAGATGGAGTTCTGGAGTCACCTGGGCTAGTCACATGTCCCTGCATGACTCAGTCTTTACAGGCCGAAACCATCGTCCACATGGTATCTTGTATGTCTCCAGGAAGACTTCTTATGTGGATTGGAGCATTCCAAGATGCATTGTTCCCCAAGTTCTTCCTGATCAGGTCCTTAACCTTGCCAATTCCTTCCTAAAGAAACTGACCAAATGCCTCACAAAGCTTACTTAGAAACCAAGCAAGTATACAGCCTATATTCTTAACCTCAAGTAGAAAATGATATATGTGTACAAATAGGATGAATAGATAAAGTAGACAATAACCTTTATGGAGATATGTTACATGGCACAGGCAGCACAAAACATATTCCAGTTATGTCATACATACATTTGTAAGCACCCCCCCCCCCATAAAGCCTTATGGGGTACACCGTCACAGGGGGCATGGAGTAGAAACTGCGTAAGGACTCCATCCTCCACAGTTTCCAGGTAGGACAGTCTTACGGAATGTGATCATTCAAACTGTAAGAGAATTCCACTTTTATTACATTATCAAAAATGAGGAAACAGACGTAGATGGAACATTGAATGCTGAAATTCTGCTCTTTCACATGGACGGGAGCATCTGCTTTGCATTGCACACACTTGGTATACATACTAAATATGTTCTAAATACACATTTACATCATAGGTCTCAACTATCCTATTAAATAACTAATGCCGTGAATGAATAACTGCCTGATCAATCTTTCTGTTGTATTTTCTCAGTTAATAGGCACTTTAGAGAGACATTTGGTTAGTTTGGTTTTAAAATAATTTGTTTTTAAAATAATTCAGTTTGACACAAATTGTCTGAAGCAAGAAAAGTTAAATTCAAAGCTGCCTGAGCCGCCTCCTCTTATTGCAGTGGAGTTATTTATACTTGGTTTCTAATACAATGTGTGCTGCATTTTTTCCTTGGCCTTTTTGGCTAAGGTCCAGACTAATATTGGTTTAATATCTGTAAACATCCTCTTTTGGGGAACACTACATAAAGATTCCAACAGGATGGATTCAATGAGCTAATAGATTTGTTCTGTCTTTAATTACAATAATTGTATTGCGAAGGCATAAGAAGATGAGTTAAGCAGTATTAGCCTTAACTTTGAAAAACCTCACTGTCACTTAGTGCCTTGTGTGTTAATTTCTTTGTGCAACTCTGTGAAATACATGATAAGACGAATAGAACACTTCCTCAACTTAGAAATGCCCTCCAAGTACCCAATGAAACTGCAGCTTCAAGAAACTAAAAATGCATGTGTGCAAGTTGCATTTATGGCCTCCCTTTTTCTCCAGGGAGGGGAGTGAGACACCAGTGACCTTCATGATGATCTTGTTTGGGCGTGAATAGGATGGCATAGTCCTTGGGAACACACTTTCCCTTTAGAGAGAGAAGGACTCCATTGGTGGTGTCCATTGGTGCATTATGGACTCCATTGGTGCATTATATAATCATGCTGTAGGGCAGAATCAGTGACTGCTTCAGAAGAACACCCTATTCTGCTTAAATCAGCGTGACTAATACATGCTGTGCTTATGCTGATGTCTGTGATGTGCGGACATCATGCTCCATGCCACCAGATGAAACAGGAGAAGAATACTTCTGTGTATTTTTGTAAAGATTCATCTGAAGATAATAATAGTGACCATGACACAGAATATTCCATCCAGGGGGTTAATAGGATTTGGGGCCATCTACAACTCTCAGCTAGTCCTTGACTCTCAAATAGCATTTGTTATTACGTCTGTCTCCCAGCAATGTTTTTCCCCTGGAATATCTGTGGGCATCACAAACAACCTGCACAGTAGTGAACTATCTGTTAAACTCCCATTTAAATCCAGTCAAAACTCCCTTGTATTCAGTGGGAGCAGGTTCTTCATACCCCAAGTCGTGAGCCCTGTGGAAGTAGTATTTGCCTCCACCTTAACTCAGAATCTCAAACTACTATCGGTAAGTGAAATCCAGCAGGTCTGATGTAAACTGATGGAGAGTGTGAAAAATGAAGGTTCACCTGCTATTTAAGTTCCAAAGGGTATTTTACTTTCTTTGATGTTTTTCCCAGATATCTTTCTGCCATGCAGGCCTCATGTAGCACAGAAGGATTTTCAATAATCTTGCTGCTCCTGCTAGCAGGAATTAATAAAAAGGAATGAACCAATATGGATTATTATTGTTCCTTTCATTGTGCAGTTTATATGGCTAACTAATGATGCTTGTATATCAGTGCCTGTGTGATGCTACTTGTGTAACCTCAGTGTTACAACAGGCAAAGAAAAGAAAGAGTTGTAAATGCCTAAGCACATTGAAGTGTCACCACTGTGATGTCATCATAGGGCCCCTGGACATAGGTCAAAGGCCTTCATAGGACTCTTAGTAAGAAATATAGTTTCACATAATAACCAAGGAAAGAGACTGAAAAGATTTTCAGTTAAATTTACATTATTCTGTAATTGTGAACAAAATGTTTATGCATAAATAAAATATTTGATAAATGGATTTTCACAATACTAGCCTGAGTTGCAGCTTGAACACCCCTTAACAAGGCTACTCTGCCTCTGCAAAACTCTTCACATTCAATACAGTCCCTGGAAGCTCCAGTGAAGTGAGGTTACAGCTGTGATATAGGCAGATGTTTGAACACTTGGGAAAGATGAAGACAGCCTGACAAGGAAGGTTGTGCAGGGGGACGTGAAAACTCTGGGTCTCTGGGGAACAAGGAAGGATCCATCCGAAGCAGATAATTGTAGTTGGGTGGGAAGGTACACGGTCTGATCTGAGTGAAGAAGCAGTAAATATCCAAGTCAATGAGGAAGAATGCCAAGCTGGTAATAGCTGGGTGGAAGGGAGATTGGTCACCAGGAATAATGGGAGCCAGTGGTAGTAAAAGAGCCCCCAAAATATAAATCTGCTTCAATTTAAAATCAATCCATTGAATCTGTTATGCTTGTAGGTTCCCTAATTCAAGCTGTTTACTGCATCTGGGATAGGTTGAAAAGGGACCCTATGCAAGGGAGATTTCAAGACAGGCACAGAATGCTGTACTGTCCGTGCTTAGACCATGCTAGAACACTGATCATACTTTAAAAATAATTGATAATGTCTGATGTAACAATTGGTCACTTGAGAATGCCTTTAATGCATTTGAAGGTATGTACCAATTCTAAGGTAATAGAAATATGCTGCACTTGAATAGATTGTGACATATTGCAGCCTATCTTTGGGAACCATATGGTATTAAGTTCATGTATTACTGTGAGCCAGGGATTGCAGTGAGGACGGTTCCCACAGCTCCAGGAACAAAAAACAGTGGGGGTTGATTAAGGTGAATCAGTTAGGTTGTAAACACCTCCAGAAAGGAACCCTTCCAAGGAGGTTTGCATATACTGGTTCAAACTGGGTTTTCCAGAAACTAACAGACAAAGAAAAGGGATTTTATTATTAAAAAAAAAAAAGCTGGGTTTAAATTGACTTGGGGCCGTCTGTCTGGTTCAGCAAATGGACAGGACATTCTGTCTCGGGGTGGGGGTTCTAACCCTTGCAGTGGGGTTGGAAAGATATTGGCTTTCTAGGGCCCCATAAGATTAATAGGTGACCACAGCACGGGGTCTATTTAGCATGAATAGACCCCGGTCAGACCTGCTGGGAAATAGCAGTGAAGTGCAGAGGGACAGCAAACCCAAACCTCTGGTCTGAAGGGAGAGAGATGTGGGTCTCTGCCCCATGAGAGGTGATAGCTGAGAAGCCTAAACCTTGAGTGGGTACCCTCAAGGAAGAACAGGAGGGGGTCAGTTAAACCTGAAACTCTGACATACATAAGCACTTTTAAAACAAGAATATTAAAGCATTTTACAAATAATTAAACCACATAACATGTATGTGAGGTAATGATGAATTAACCATTTCATTTGCAGTGGGCCAAGACTGAAAAGCGTGGCCCCTAGCCCATAAGTCATCTTAACAGAATTTCAAACTGTATATTTCAACATAGTACATGTGATGGGGTAGTGTGCCATGGAGGGCAGTGGCTTCTAGTGGTCAGCCCAACCAGCAACCTGGCATAGCCTTTTAAGGGCTTGGAAGGGTCCAATAGATATATAGGGAAACCTTAGAGTCCCAGGAATGGATGATGCTTGAGGAAGAAATCCTGACATTGTATCTTTAAGGGCTCAAAGCCTTGCAGAGAGGGCAGGGCAAGGATCCTCTCACCCCATCAGTTGGGGAGGAGTCAGGGGAAGGGGACCAGTATAAAGGCTGCCGCCTCTCTCACAGCAGGGCCATACTGTCCAGAGAAGGCTGGCCAACTGACCCCTACAGACTGACAGACTAATTGGAGAGGGTGTTCAGTTGAAGGGAGCTGGATAAAGCCTTGCAGCTGCCTATTCCAAGCACGAGGCCTGAGACACAAACCCCAGCTCAAAGAAGAGGGCTGAGCGGGAACTCCTGCCTGGAGCAGGGAAATATCGACTGCTCTAATGGTGAGAGATGGGGGACTGCTCACACACAGCCCAGCTGCTTCAGAGGAGGGCTGGGAATGGTTTTAGAGAAGGTACTTTCATGGCTCGCTAAGGAGAAGTTGTGAGGAATCTGCTCCAGGTGGGGATAGCAGAGACATGGTGAAGACATCGTCAAGCAGGGTGACTGTAGGGACAGTTCAGGGAAGAAGCAGAAGGATAAAAAAAAACACACAGTCCTTATCTGCCTAAAACAGGGTCCTTGGGCTGGAACACAAAGTAGAAGGTGGGTCTGGTTCCCCTGCCTCTCCCCCAGACCAGGAAGGGGTGCATGGGTGTTAAGAATAAAAGGCCAAGAATGACAAGTTGCAGATAGATGCTGGGAGATGAGCTTGAAGGCCATTAGATTTTGAATTTCCTATTTGGGAGCTTTTAGTTTATCCCTGGAAGGGAAATGGACTGAGCACTGACCTGACGGGAGGGCTAAGCCAAGTATATCAACAGACCATTACAGCACAAGAACAACTAAAGAGGGTGCTAGACTGAGAGAACCCCTGCAATTGTGTACCTGGATGCTAGGAAGCACTCTGGAGGTGAGAGGCGCGATTACATACAGCTATGCCATTTAATATACCCCTAATCAGAAAATCAGGAGCATCAAAAGTTAAAACCGCCCTCCTACACCAACAATTTCCCACCCTTACAATTCTCCATTTTCAAATGTGTGGGGAAAAAGATGTGCTTTTCAGTATGTCATGAAGATCATCAGACGAGGTATTTTGGAACAAGGGAATGTGTAAATTCCAAAGCCATGGGGTCCTCACAGAATATCTGGCTGGCAGCATCTTTGCAGTTAGAGCAATGGAACTTCAGCTCAAATGTTTCTGCTGATCTCATTTCTGGCAGCAAGGCACAAAGAGAGAGGGAGGGCCTTTCAGGCAGGCAGGTCCTAAGCTGTTACTTACCTAATAAAATGAAAATGTGTAAATGTAAAGCTAATTGATGGACTCATTTAGATACTAAATTGTTTGTAGCAAGCAAGAAATGGATTTAATTTTGCAAAGAACAATGGATATTTGCAAAAACTGTTCTTCCCAAAAGAAAGTGTTAGCATGCGAGGGGTGAAAGAACTGAAGTGCATCTTTAAATATATATACCAGGACAGAAAGCACTGGGAAACAAATGACAGAAATCAGATTTATTTGCAATCAATATGGAACAGTAACAATACAGCACAAGTGTTCAGCCAAAAGCATTCTTCCATGGAGAAGTTTTACTTTGTTAGATGCACAATTCCTTGTGCAAAATGCACACACAATTCTGTGCCTATATTTGCACATGCAGTTCCAATGATTAAATGCACAAAACGCTAATTTAGATAATTTGTGCATGCTGTTAGCCTGTTGTGCAATATTTTTTTGTACAAATTAGGTATGTATTTTGGCTGTGCAACTGTGCATCTGTTTCATGTGTAATCAGCCCCTTAATGTTTAATAAAAAGATAATACTTTAGTTTTGAATTATTATACCTACAACAATCTAGAAATGTGTAGCTCTTTCTTGATCAGTTACAGAGGAAAATTTCAGTCAAATGTATAGGTAGATACTTGAATTATTTTTCCTTTGAAAATACTTAAGATCAAGAGGGATGCTCCTATATAATCCATCAGTCTGGTGGTAAACAAAAGGAATGTGAAATAAGGGCTATTGGCAAAACTTAGGCATGTGTAAAAGGCAGAAGATTTTTTTTAATGGGTGTTTTGATCAGAAATGCAGTCTTGTACAGATTTGGTCCTTTAATGAGCCATCTATTTTTTTATTTTTATGACAGACTAAGAATCTAGCACACTGACTGTGTGTTCAGAGTTGCAGTACACATTGGATTGTTTTTAATTCCTGTTGCTGAGAGAGAAACAACTGGTGCAGTAAAAGCAAGATTCCTGATTGCAAAGCACTAGGCAAGTATACCGTAAGTTTCGATTTGGTTTGGTTTCTTTCTAGAGCGATGGTAGACTTGGAGGAAATAATTTACAAGCAGCTGACTGATACGACCTAGTCTAAAATGTTTTAAGCCTGACATAATCATTTTATATGAGTCTATTTGATAAATAGAGGCTTCAGCCCTTTTGCGTAAGTCGTAATTTGAGGTTTATGAGGTAAACAAAGGAGGCGCAGTCCAATTGTGTTAGATATATGCATTTCCTAAGATGATTTTCCTTTTCAGTAGTACAGTTATTTAGAAAATCACTCACTCAAATCTATTTCTGTCCTAGATTTATTTTTGAGAACCGATAAATGCTGTTATAGTTCAAGATACTATTAATAGTATATTATTCAAACAAGACTTTTTATGTTTTAGTATTACTGATTTCTTAATGTCAGCAATAGCATAGCCTTGTGTACAGTATTTTTGATTCACATTTTTATATGCTACTAATTACCAATTCAGCAAAAATATCTTCAGGAAGGAAAATAGCGTGTAAGACTTGCTGAGCTCATGTTACAAAGTTAGCCTCGGATGCTTTATTTAGAGCATACTGTGAATTCTTCATTTTGAAAGACTGGTACATTTTTGAAGCGTTCACTTTGCTCTACACAGTAGCAGTCTCAGAAATAAAGTTTCAGATATTTGTAGTTTACAATGGAAACAGAAAACTAAAATAAATGGTAATGTGCATTGTTTAAATAACACATTCAGTTTAGACATTTTCAGTGATACTTCTAATAGTTTACAGGTCTCTAGACTATATCTAGGCATTCTTCTTTGAATGCATTTGGCTGACAGACTGGAACTCCACTGGTTCTGGAAGGTAATCAGGAATCAAGGGTACTGGCATGTTATTACTAACTTAGACCTGTGACTCCTTACCAATTTTTCTTTTGAGTGGTTATGTTTACTGTCATAATTATAAAAATAATTATCATTATTGTTTATATTACAATAGCATCCAGAGGCTCCAGTTCAGATTAGGGCCCCATTATGGTAGCCACTGTCCAAAGACGTAGGAAAGACAGCTCCTGTTGTATAGAGTCAACTGTCTAAATAGACAAGACAGATAGTGGGTAGTAGGGGAAAACAGAGGCACAGAGAGGTGAAGTTCTTTGCCCCATATCACACAATAGATCAGTGGTCGGGCTGGGAAATAGAACCACATTCTCCTGAATCCTAGTTCAGTGCCTTATCCACTAGACCACACTGCTTTTCAATGTGTCCAAACTATAGGATGTCCTTTCAACTCTTTCTTTAGAGGAACTGCAGTAGTACATAAAAATGAATTGGTTTATCACAGTACTGCCCACTGTTGTGTTGGAGAGCCAAAATGTGTAGGTGAATGGCAATGGGAGTTTAGTGGCATCGATGCTCTAAAACTGCAGATGTGCGTAGGCAACACTATACTTGCTTTACTTGCCACTATATTTGACACTTACATTTGACACAATATTCTGTAAAACACCCCAGCAGCAATACCCATCAGATATAATCATAGAAAGCTGAGCTGGAATTGCCCAGTAGATCAGTCACTCCATATCTTCACCCCCCATACTTACAGAATCCTGGGGAGCAATGACTTTGCAAAAGATTTGTGGGTGGTGTTGGATAATCTGCTGAACATGAGCTCTTTATTTGACTCTTTGGCCAAAAGAGCTAATGCCATCCTGGGATACACAAGCAGGGTAGGAGTAGAGTTTATTTTACCTCTGTATTTGGCACTGGTGCAACTACTGCTGGAATACTGTGGACCAGTTCTGGTGCCCACAATTCAAAAAGGACGTTGATAAATTGAAGACGGTTCAGAGAAGAATGATGAAAGGATTAGAAAACATGTCTTCTAGTGATAAACTCAAGGAGCTCAATCTGTTTAGCTTAACAAAGAGAAGGTTAAGGGGTGACTTGATTACACTCTATAAGTACCTACATGGGGAACAAATATTTAATAATGGGCTCTTCAGTCTAGCAGAGAAAGGCATAGTACGATTTAATGGCTGGAAGTTGAAGCTAGACAAATTCAGACTGGAAATAAGGCGTACATTTTTGACAGTGAGAATAATTAAACCATTGGAACAGTTTATCAAGGGGGTGTGATAAATTTTTTTATTGTGTCAATTTTAAAATCAAGATTGAATATTTTTTCTAAAAAGTATACTCTAGGAATTATTTTGGGGAAGTTCTATGGCCTGTGTTATACAGGAGGTTAGACTAGGTGACCACAATGGTCCTTTTGGCCTTGAAATCTATGAATCTGCCAACACAATTGAAACTCTGAAACCCAGTGACAGAGGATCTGAAAACCACTTTCTGAATAGCATATACTCTTTTCAGTTAGTGCATACCTTAGGGGAGAAACGATAACCTGCCCCCATCTATGTTATGACCACTGGTTATGCTGGGTAGCTCTCCTTCTGGAGCTCATCAGCACTGCCCCAGGAACCAATGTAAGAGTTGCTTTATCGTTAACATTCTGTCTACTGTAACTGTTAGAGCACCAGGGTAGCCAAGCAGAGAGTGGATTTATGCTGGAAAATGAGAACAATTATGTTTTTCTCTTGAGAGCATTCCTTTAGCTTGTTTCTTTGTTTTGTTTTTAATTTTTTTTGTAAGACTCATTCCTGAGAAAGGTGTGTTTTACACATTGAACACTGTTAGGCTTTGGCTTTGTTTGATATTTATCTAGGTATTTATATGGTTGCAATCACCATAGTATCTAAGTGCCAGCAAGAACAGGATTCTGCCAGTGAGAATGCTTAGAGTTCAAATTTGGGTCTCTATCTATTTCTGGGTATGTGGCCCCCATTGCCATAGAATCTGAGTGCCCGACAATACCACTGTTGGGATAAGGAAATGCTATTATCCACATTTGACAGATGGGGAGCTCAGGCAGAGAGAAACTAAATTATTTGACCAAGGTCACACAGGAAGTCTGTGACAGAACAGGGAATTGAATTCAGATCTCCTAAGTCCCAGACTAGTGCCCCAATCACTGGACTATCCTTCCTTCACAGCCCTGTGTGCTACAGATGTTTTAGGTCATGGAGGGGGAAGTGGTCTCTGAGGTAGCCATGTCCCAATTTGTTAAGGGTTTTGTATTTTAGGACTGGGATTTGGAAATTTGGTTAAGTGAATTGAAATTCAGTTGAGTTTGCAAAACCTATATGTAATGTGTCGGAGTCGGTCTTTATGTGCTGCTGAGCAATGTACCAATCGCAGCCTTTTTGTGCTGGTCACTTTCAGTGCTAGGTAAATTGTACTGCAACACTAATTTGGATATTCTACAAGATTGAATGATCACTGTTGGCTAAGATTTCTCCTGAGAGAAGAGGGGTGAGAGGTGCGGTTTTCTAGTTAAATGAAAATAGAAGGCATTTCTGGCTACCATGACAGTATTGATGTCCAAAAGCAGTAAAGGATCCAGTATGACCCTAAGGCATGGTACAACCATAGCAATCTCTTTGTCATTGTGTCAAGTATCAGAGGGTTAGCCGTGTTAGTCTGGATCTGTAAAAAGCAACAAAGGGTCCTGTGGCACCTTATAGACTAACAGATGTATTGGAGCATAAGCTTTCGTGGGTGAATTAGTGTGTTGGCAAGTTACTTAACATAATAGATTCCTGGGTACAGTTGCAGCTTCACAACTGCAGTAACAGTCATGGACTGGCTCTGCAGCTGGGATTATGGGAGGATTCCTTTACTCCTACAACTTTTCCTCTGTAGCAACACACAATGCACAGCACAGAATTTGGATAGAGAGCATTTGAATCTTAAGAATAAATTGATCAAAATGGCAAGTCAGAGCTAAAATAGGAAATGGACAGGAATTCAAGATCTCTTGTTGGGCAGAACAGACACGGTCAAAGTGAAGACTTTCCCAGAAGTGTTTGTTTCAGGTATAACCTCACCAGTAAGTATCATGGTCACAGAGCAGAAAGGGCTTATTTGAGAAATGTGGTAAGTCTTATCAAGCCCATTGTGGGAGATGTGCCCTCTCTGATAAACAGAATTATTTTTGGGTCCTAATAACTTGACTTCAAGGTAATGAAAATCAGTTTTAGGGACAGATATAGCTGGTGGGAAATGTAGAGTTGCTGTTAAGATATTTGTTGTGGCTTGCCCAGGGTAGACATACAAATGGCGTTCTCTACTCACACCCATTTTGCGGCTGACTAAAAGGATTTGGTGTACAGTTGCCAAGAAAGTTAACAATGATCACATCCCTCCTCTTCTATCAGGAGAAACCCTGGGCTCTTACCAAGTGTGAGCCAGCTCATAGCATTTGTGGAGCCAGTGGACTAAGGTCAATGGAGCAGCTTTTCAGGAGAATCAAGGAAACACTTGGAGGTCTGGACCTGTGGCTTGCAAAGCAGAGTGGTTTTCGATTGAGACAGTCTAGACTAAAGGTTGGATAATTATTTTAGTCTGTTTTTCCACTTTATTAGTCCTGTAGCACCTAGGAGCCCTAGTCATGGTCCAGAACCCCATTGTGGTAGGCACAGTACAAAAAAATGGTCCCTGTACTGAAGAGTTTACAAGCTGAATAAACCAGACAGGGTGGGGGAAGAGATATAACATACAAGCAAAATGAATGAAACGATGGCGGCTAATGTCCGTCATGCTAGTTCCAGGATTATTTTTGATGGTTCAGGTAAGAGGGGATCAGCTAAAGGGAAGGGAGAAGGGACATTGAATGGAAGGAGGCTGAGGGGGCCAGGGCAGGGGAGAAAAGGGTGAGAGAAGTGAAGCTGAGGTGAAGAGAAAGAGACTATGAAGAAGGGGGAATGTTGGAGCAAATAGCTAATCAGCACAGGACAGAGAAAGCCCAGTCAAATCTGTAGAAAGTTCTCTGTGTCCAGAGGTGCCTGCTTTGGCTGCTTCTGCCCTTACTGGCCCACTGGAGTCTCTGGCTGACTCCTCTTTGCAGCTTTCTCCCAAGCCCACATGGCAGGGTGGAAGGGGCCACCCACCTGGAATTGGAA